TACCCTTCTACTACCACCACTAACAACCTCACTAGCACTACCATCAAACCTACTACCACTACCAACAACCCCACTCTCACCAACCCTACTAACACTAACCCTACTAACACCACTACTAACACTTGCCCTTCTACTACCACCACTAACAACCTCACTAGCACTACCATCACACCTACTACCACTACCAACAACCCCACTCTCACCAACCCTACTAACACCACTACTAACACCTACCCTACTACTACCAACACTAACAACCTCACTAGCATTACCATCAATCCTACTACCACTACCAACAACCCCACTCTCACCAACCCTACTAACACCAACCCTACTAACACCAACCCTACTACCACCACCACTAACAACCTCACTATCAACCCTACTCTCACCAACCCTACTACTACCACTACTAACACCAACCCGATTACTATCACTAACACTAGTACTACCAACTGCACCATTTATACTCCCACAATTCTTGCTATCATCTTGTCCAGCACTACCACCACCAACACCACCATCTTCATCATCACTGTCATCTAAAGTCAAATCTACCACAACTGGATGTTTTTTGTTGCCCACACTTTTAGTAGATTCATCAATGGCTGTTCTTTCTCCCCTCGTAGCAAGTTTCATATCTTGTGTCCCTGTGTTTGATTTCCGTAAGCCATAATAAACAAAGGAATTATCATTCCAGTCACTGCTTGTGTTGTCCACACCTTTAGCTAAACCCAGATGTTTCCTGCTGTCGTTCATCGCAGACAACCCATTACTGGTCACTTTTAAATATCCACTAAGAAAGAAAATAGACAAAAAGTTAATTATCTTATTTACCAACATATCAAAAACTGGGTTTTAAAATTTATATTAGAAGGATTTTTTTGAAAAAAAAAGGTCAAAAGTTTTATACAAAGGAAGAAAAACCACTTGAAGAAAAACCGAATATCTGTTTTATTATGCAAATGAGTAGGTCACGCAATACTCGCTCCCGTTCCGTCACTGCACTGTTTTGACGCCATTGAAATCTTGGCACCCTTCCAAATCTTCTTTATTGCAAACAATGGTAGGAGTAAATATAAATACTTCAAATTCACTCAAAAAACGCTATGCTGTATTTCATGCCGATTTGATTTTTGACTTGTATATTTAAATTTAAATGTTTTTCTGGAAAAAAGATGTGATCATCTAGTATTCAGAAGAATAAGTATTTAGATATTATTATTTCTCTCTTGTTTAATATGAATGGTTTCTTTCGAAACAATCACGTCTAGAAGATATAATGGGACTCAATAATTCGTATATATCGAAAGAAAGATGAAACTAAAATACCATACACGAATCAGCATCTTGTAAATATTAAAATCAGTCTTGAATACAACTTCACGAGTATGAAGAAAAATAATAATAAAATAAAAAAATTCAAAGCTTAGTGGAACAAATTTTATTTCCTAAGATCCTAAGGATTGTTAATTTGATTGAAGTACTTCGGGCTTCGTGTCCGTAGCATGACCGCGAACGAACCGAATAATGGAGGATTCAAATGAGGCGCGGGATCTTTGTTACTGTCGTTATTCGTGTGCTTGTATTGTTATTTAAAGGGGGACTAGCACGAAAATTGGTCAAATTTTCAAAACTCTTCAAAAAGTCGCTCTTATGATTAATATTACTTACATAAATATTTCCTGAGCATTTTTTTTACATATTCCCGCAAGAAGTCCGTTAAATTTTCGTTTTTCT